CACCGTACTGTGATTGAAGTCTTCTGTAGATATCTGTGGGTTTTACGCCTTCGTTCATGAGAAACTTTCTCACCACACGCTGTTCCATGCACATTCTGTTGTCTGCTATCTTGATTAAAGGTCTCTGGACTGGCCCACGACATATGAGTGCCCCAGTATATATATATATATATATATATATATATATATATATATATATATATATATATATATAGTATAACTGTGCAATTACTGTTTGCCCAGAGTTCTGCTTCAACTATACATTCACACTTTTTTCAGTCTTTGATGGCTAAAACATAATGCTGTAATGTGACTATAAAATGTTCATAACAAAACCATGAGGACTTTCCCTATTAACACACAATGAACTTAATGTTAATGTTACATTTTCTTAGTACAGACCAAAGTTACTTTGCCAGCTGGCAAAAGCAATGTGCTTTACAACAATGGTTACAATTACAGTCCCATTGATGTAAGAATGACATGTTATCAATAGACTTTATCCACGGGGAAGTGTTTATTTTTATTCCTGGAATTATTTAGTTTGCCAAATTCAGTCTAGCTATTCCTGACACTATTGTAAAATGAAAAATAATGTGCATCTGTTGAAGAAAGTTTGATTTAATTGGTCAGATGTTCTAATACATTACACTTGTAGACATCTGAAAAAGTTTCATTGTTCTAAAAGCATTTGTAAGATTGTTGGTATTTCCTATACTTTAAAATCGGTTTTAATAAGTGGTAGACTTGGGAAAAAAATATTTAAAGTAAAGGAATTTAAATTAAATACTTTAGGTGCCTTGAGTCTGGAGTTATGTGTAGGCCACTACCATATAATCATTTTCTGTTATGCGATTATATATGCATGTTAGTTCCTGCAAGACCACTTTGGGGGGTATTTATAGCAGAAATTGGATATCGCTCAATGTTCTCCACTGTTTTGCAAAGTAATCCTCACTGTGGCTTGAATTGTACAGCCCATTTATAAAATGCAGGCCAGAGTGTGGAGTCTGTGGTGTGTCATGGAGAACTCTATGATTTGAGAAGAGCTTTGTAACAGCATTTTAAGACGGCATGTGAATGAACATGGCTTTTTTCCTATTTCATTTTAATTATGCTCCACATGCTTTGGAGTCCTTTTTATGAAAAAAAGTGAGAAGGGTATGTACTGTATGTTGTTAGATATAGGGGTGTGAAGTAGAGGTCTACTGTCAGCATGCTAATATGTAATGATGGAATAATTTAAAGCAGACAGTTTTACCTAACCTTTGTCTGCACATCATATCAAATATATATAAAAAAATACGTACTGAATATTGTCTCTGTTGGTATCAGTTTTCATTTTAATGGCATGAGTCAAGTGTTTAATTTATATGTATAAAATGTTTGTGCTCGCGTTCTTTGTGCAGCAAGGGGGTAGGGTTAGATTGTGAGGGCTAGTTAGGGTGGGAAAGTTTACTTTGCCTGCAAGTACACTTAGTCTATAATGATGGAAACAGCTAAACTGTACATTTGTAGCTGTACATTTGTATGTTTAAACCATTGAACATACAGCATGCAATTCCCTGCATAGTGAGTCCTCATGGACTTCTATGAGGCTGTTTTACGAGACAGAAGATGTTTGAGAGATTGTCCTATAGCAGTCTGTGAGGATTCACTGCACAGGCATATCCAGCAGTAGGAAGATTTTGTCTGCAGGATATAAATGTTAGATGTGGGTTCAGAAAAAGTACACTTGCTATCCCTGCTATAGATATTTGTGTTTTCTGTAACAAAGAGGCTGCAGGCTCTACTCAAGCGATTGCAGGAAACTGGGAACTAATATCATCCTCAGGTGAAGTTCCTTCTTTGTTCTTGAGAAATCTCCTTTGGCACAGACTTTACACCTTAGTTCTTGTGGTTATGAAGCCCTTTTCCTTCTACTCAGGACCACTTTCAAACTCCTCTTTGATTCTCAAGAGTCCTCAAAATTAGTTCTTCCTTTGTGTTCAGCACATGACTATGTTACATAGTCACATAGTTGGTAAGGTTGAATGCCAGTCCATCCAATTCAAAATGCATGGCTGTGTGTGTGTGTGTATATGTATATATGTCACTACCATTGCCCATATTCCTGTCTATTGCATTTGTTAAGATGCCTAAACGTTTTTTTTATACTATCAACACTCCCTGCTGACACCACAAACTATGGAAGGAATTTTCGCATCCTTACCGCCCCAACAGTAAAGAACCTCTTACACATTTTAAGGTTAAATCACTTCTTGTTCAACTTCATTGAGTGGCCACGTGTTTTCTTAACTAGTGGCCGACTGCAAATAGCCGAATGACGGTTGCACTGCAGCCTGCCAGTTCTGGGTGGACATCATATGACGTCCTCCCAGAACGTGCTCTTCTCCCCGGGTGCGTGCACCCAGCAATCTCCGTGATCGTTGTGTCCTACGGACACAGCTGATCACGATGTGGTAAAAGGCCAATCACAGCGGCCTTTTACCACGTGATCAGCCGTGTCCAGTGATACGCTGATGACAGGGAAATGCAATTGCTGGTTCTCAGCTGCACTTTCCTCATGCTGTCAAAGCGTGAGAAAAGTACTGCCCAGAACCGGCAGTTGTCAGAGCAGGGATCGGCACCAATCATCAGGGCACTGATGATCAATGCAAAAAAAGGGGGGAGTTGTGAAAAGAAAATTCACAGAGAAAGTGGCTACATTATGAACAGAATGTGATACTCAGAAAAATTTCCAAAAATTATGCTTTATTACATATACAAATTTGACATTTGGGCAATCGCCCTGGTTTACCATCACCTCAGTATGAGACAATACACACAGACCTAAACCATTTAAAATGACACCAAGACCGGTCTAAATACATGTGCAACGAAGACAGTGACTACTAGAGTCTAAAGTCTTTGTAGCACTGGCGCATAGGTGAACACTTCCCACAGGAGGTGTATGCAAAAATTACACCATAGGTATACCATGTAACATGTTGTAAATATGTAGACATATGCTACTACCGAAATGGTTATATCCCAAGCAGGGAGTATCAAAAAATTATACTATAGATATAAAATATCACATGTATGCAATGCAGCAAGCACAGTATGCGTCAAAAAGAGAGGCATGCCTCTAGGCCTATATGAGACAAAAATGAATGTCATATATAAAATGCAGTACATTCCTATGCCGGCACATATGGTTGGGGCCCATTCATCTGTAATGTAAGCGACTGTTTCCTAGGGCTCTTAAATGAGAATAAGCCCCATTTGTTACCAGGATGGAAGGATAGATGCAAATAGCAGAGCACTGCTTGAAATGGTTTCTTCACCACTGTATGTGGACTACACACCACTTTCTGTAAGGAAAACAAGACAAATCCCAATAGATCTTCTGCCTGTTGAGATACACGTGGTATATCCTGTTTCCTATGAAAAGCACCATGATGTCCCCATCCTGTAGTGAAACAGACAATATGTGGAAAGTCATTGGAGGAGCTTTCACTCTATATGAGATGTATAGGTCATATCGATCACATAGGACCATATAACTAGTGTCCTGTAACAGTCCACTCACCACCTGCGCAATGGATAATAGGAGAGGAAAAGATGTTGTCCTTCATAAGTACTGCCATGCAAGGCCAGAGAGGCCAGGGAACCACCGCTGACATCAGCCGATATACTGCGGGTTCCGACCTCTTCTCGGCGCCTGTGCTGCTTAAGCTTGCCTCATGGCATGTGAAGATGGCTTCCTCCTTGTAGGTCAGCGTGCGTTCCACCTAGTGCGCATGACCGGAAGTGACGTATCTGACGTATGACGTCAACGCGTTTCGCCGATGGACGTATCTCACTCAGCTTCGTCAGGACCAATGAGATTCCTGCATTCCAGTTTTCTATTTATAGTATATTATAAACGTCAGATACGTCACTTCCGGTCATGCGCACTAGGTGGAACGCACGCTGACCTACAAGGAGGAAGCCATCTTCACATGCCATGAGGCAAGCTTAAGCAGCACAGGCGCCGAGAAGAGGTCGGAACCCGCGGTATATCGGCTGATGTCAGCGGTGGTTCCCTGGCCTCTCTGGCCTTGCATGGCAGTACTTATGAAGGAACATCTTTTCCTCTCCTATTATCCATTGCGCAGGTGGTGAGTGGACTGTTACAGGACACTAGTTATATGGTCCTATGTGATCGATATGACCTATACATCTCATATAGAGTGAAAGCTCCTCCAGTGACTTTCCACATATTGTCTGTTTCACTACAGGATGGGGACATCATGGTGCTTTTCATAGGAAACAGGATATACCACGTGTATCTCAACAGGCAGAAGATCTATTGGGATTTGTCTTGTTTTCCTTACAGAAAGTGGTGTGTAGTCCACATACAGTGGTGAAGAAACCATTTCAAGCAGTGCTCTGCTATTTGCATCTATCCTTCCATCCTGGTAACAAATGGGGCTTATTCTCATTTAAGAGCCCTAGGAAACAGTCGCTTACATTACAGATGAATGGGCCCCAACCATATGTGCCGGCATAGGAATGTACTGCATTTTATATATGACATTCATTTTTTGTCTCATATAGGCCTAGAGGCATGCCTCTCTTTTTGACGCATACTGTGCTTGCTGCATTGCATACATGTGATGTAGTCACTGTCTTCGTTGCACATGTATTTAGACCGGTCTTGGTGTCATTTTAAATGGTTTTAGGTCTGTGTGTATTGTCTCATACTGAGGTGATGGTAAACCAGGGCGATTGCCCAAATGTCAAATTTGTATATGTAATAAAGCATAATTTTTGGAAATTTTTCTGAGTATCACATTCTGTTCATAATGTAGCCACTTTCTCTGTGAATTTCTTTTCACAACTCCCCCCTTTTTTTACATGTCTTTTTTGGCTACTGAATGGAGGCCATCTACTGGGTGATATGGTAATTTATTTTACAACCTCTAAATAACTATCTTTAACCACTGATGATCAATGCCCTGATGATCGGTGCCCAGCAGTGCCGCCCACCTGTGCCCACCAGTGCCACCCAATTGTGCCACCCCCCTGTGCCCAGCAGTGCAACCCACCTGTGCCACCCACCTGTGCCCAGCAGTGCCACTCACCTGTGCCCACCAGTGCCCAGCAGTGCTGCCAGTCTGTGCCGCCAGCCAGTGCCCAGTAGTTGCGCCAGTTAGTGCCCAGCAGTTGCGCCTGTCAATGAGCAGTGCCACCAGTCAGTGCCCAACAGTGCCGCCAGTCAGTGCTGACTATCAGTACCCATCATCAGTGCCACCTATCAGTGTCTCCTATCAGTGCCGCCTATCCGTGCCACCTCATTAGTGCTGCCTATCAGTGCCACCTATCAGTGCCCTTCAGTGCTGCCTATCAGTGCTCATCAGTGCTGCCTATCAGTGCCCATCAGTGCCATCTATCAGTGCAGCCTAATCAATGCACATCAGTGAAGGAGAAAAATTGTCTGTTTGCAAAATTTTATAATAGAAACAATTTTTTCAAATTGTTTGCTGATTTTTTGTTTATAGCGCAAAAAATAAAACACCCAGTGGCAAGTAAATACCACCAAATGAAATCTCTATTTGTTAGAAAAAAATGGTAACAGTTTCATATGGGTACAATGTTGCATGACCGCACAGTTGTAATTCAAAGTGCGACATCGCTGTAAGCTGAAAATTGGACTGGTAAGGAAGGGGGTATAAGAGCCCGGTAGACAAGTGGTAAAGCAACCCTAGACTGAATAGTTTTCCCCCTATGCTAGAATTACCATTTAGGTATTTGTATATTGCAATCATATCTCCTCTCAAAAGAGAAGTATGTACTTGTAAAAAAAAATAATTATACTCATATAGGTGGATGCAGCAGATCCGATGCTGCATCTGTCCCCTGCTGGCTCTGCAGTGAGAACCTAGCGATCAAACACCACTGATTGCTCAGTTCACACTTCACTCTGAGCAGAGAGCCGTGATTGTCAGTCTCCAGCTCTCTGCTCTGCTCCTCCAGCGCTCACTTAGCTCAGGAGGGGCTGGCTCAGGTTCTTGACGGATCCCTGAGAAGCTTAACAAGGTGTCGGTCCAGGCTTCTGGGTGGATACCGACCATTTGGTGGGGATCTTTTTAGAGCCTTGACTGGCTGAATGATATCAGCTGACAGCAGGATTTAGCCCTCTGTCAGCTGAAAACAGGTCACAGGAGTTCAGAACGAACTGCACTCCTGTGACCTTAAGGATAAGTATAGACAAAATAGCTTTGGCTATACTTCTCCTTTAAGTGTCTCTTCTTCACAGGGAATATATTTAATGTTTGTAGCTGTTCTTCCTTATAGTGAGTAACTTGCAAGGGCGGACTGACAACTCATGGGGCCCCCGGGCAATAGGGGATCATGGGGCCCTGTATCCTTGCCCAAACTCAAAAAAGCCTATGAAAAAGGTACCAGGGGCATCTCATGGGGCCCCCTACTGACCCCGGGCCCTCGGGTTCCAAATGGTTAGTCCGCCCCTGGTAACTTGCATTCATATTTTTAGCCCCCAAATACATTTACTTACATTTATTGATATTAAACCTCATTTGCCATGTAGTTGCTCACCCCTTTATTTTTTCGCGGTCTTCCTATAAAGTTGCTAGATGCTGTTGTGAAGTTATTATCCTGCTTAGCTTTGTATTATCAGCAAGAACTCAGAATGAACTATTTATTTCAACCTCTATATCATTTATGAACAGTTAAACAGATTTGGTCTCAAGACAGAGCCTTGGGGTACCCACTTATAACTTACTCCATTCAGCAGATACGCTATTTTCCATCATCTGGATGTACTTCTATAACCAGTTTTCTGTCCAGGTAAATACACTATCATTTATGCCAACAGACTTCAATTTGTAAATTAAGCATTCATGGGGCACTGTTTCAAATACTTTGACAAAATCCAGGTATACCACACTCACTGGCTTCCCACTATGTTGATTACAGATCATATCCTCATATAATGTTAACAGGTAGGTCCGGCAAGAATGATATTTCATAAATCCATGCTGGTTACTAATTATACTATTTACATCAACAAATTATTGGATATGGTCCATTATCATCACTTCCAATAGTTTACATACTATTAATGTTAGGGTGACTGATCCAGGTAGTTTTCAGGTATATACTGTAGCTGTTCTGACTCAGCTACAGGACCATAAACTTTATCTCCAGCGATGTATACAGCTATATATAATGTGGTGTTGAATCTATCTCTTGCATCAGGTCAGACAGTTTAACTCAGTGAATAAACTCACATGGTGAGGAAGTCAGACGAGGAAAACCATTTGAATGTTCTGTTTAATGGAGGATAGTCATAGGTAGAAAAACGGTAATGTTGTAAACCTCATGGAAACATGCATACAGGTGGACAGGATACAGTGGAATGACTACAGAGACAGGCAGGGGGAAGGGATATACACAAGTACGGTGAGAGAAAGAGCTCAGCTAGGAGGAGACAGTTTAAAGACACAGAGCAATCATAAACAAGTGATGGTCACAGAGAAATAATAATAAATGAAATAGTGTAACACAACAGTATGTCTTTTTTTGGATATTGGTACCACATTAGCTTTCCGTCAGTCAGCTGGTACCATTCCAGCTAGTAAGCTATCCTTAAAGATTATGAATAATGGTCTGGCTATAACCTTAGCAAGTTCTTTGAGGACTCTTGGATGTAAGCCATCTGGTCCTGAGGATTTATTCACCTTAAGTTTTTCAAGTCTTTTTCAATACTGGCTTCTGTTAGAAACAAGAGTACATTCTGTATTGTGTTAACAATATAGTTTTGTTTAACCTCCCTGGAAGTATTCCCGAGTGTAGCTCGGGGTAAAGTTTCAGCACCACAAGCGGTAACCCCAAGCTACACTCGGGAATACCTTGCAGCGCTGCTCCGGGATCTCTTCTTCACTTACCTTGTCCAGCGCTCCCGCGATGTCCCTCCTGCAGTGTCCCCAGCAATGGCCGGCATCTGTCTTCCGGGTTCCGTTCCCTGTGTTGTCAGGACGCACGAGGACAGAACTGACGGGAAATTAAAAATGTGAAAAAGTGGCATTCACTAAATACACTAAAATCACATAGTAAAACATTACTGTATCAAACTATTTCACATACATTTTGTCCTGTGCCCTGCCTGCATTTTTATCATTCTTTCTGCCTGGAAACTGAGAAATGTCCATGGCGTCCCTTTAGGTCAAAAGTGGTTTTAGACCAGCTAGAGAACAGCGATAGTAAATCATAACCACTTACAGAATTGAGTGATAATGATTCGGTGGGAAATTCTTCATCAGAGACTGAAAACGATTTTGCGACTTTGCTCAGTGATGTGCGAACTTGGCGCTATATGTCAAATTTCAGTGTTTTTGGTTTGATTATATTATTGAATTAAATGTATTATTATTATATTATTGTTATTTTTTATGATTATTTATTAAATTATAATTTATGATTTCGTGTTTCAAATTTTAGCATACCTGGGATGTTTACTAGACTCTTGGTCGGACAGATTTCAGTGAGTTATTCCTAAAAATTACAGGCCTACAATAAAAAAATACATGTTTCCATGCAAAAAAATGTACCACTTTGAACACAGAAATATTGACATAATCAGACCACTAAGGAGGTTAATATGCCTCTTATTTTCTTTAGTAAATAGTAAAAAAAAATATCATCCCATTTAATGTTGTGTAGTATGGAGTGCAGTTTAGTAAAGTTGGCTCTCTTGAAATTTAATGTTCTTGTCCTATCCTCCTGTCTCCATTTCCTATGATTTATGTTAAACCCTTTGATTGTTGTTTCCAAAGTTATCCCTTACTTTCACATCTGCAATCAGCTCTATGTTGTTTGTAATTAGTAGGGTAAACAAAGCATTATTTCTAGTTTGGGCATCCACCAAATGACCCAGGATATTGTTCTACAAGCCATTCAAGAAATGACAAGCTCTAGATAAGTGAGCAGTTTCTTCTGGCTAGTCGGTATCTGGATAATTGAAGCCCCCCATGATAATAACATTTCCCTGACTTGCCCCCTTTTCTAACTGTGAGAGGAGATTGGTCTCCTCTTCATGTCTTGGGTCAGGGGACCTATACCATACACCCACTATTAATTTACTGTTTGTTTTATCCCTTTGAAGCTGCAGCCACAGGGCTTCCACCTCCTCCCTTGCCCTGTTAGCAATGTCATCCCTCATGTTCACTAGCAAATCACTCTTCACATACAGACACACCCCTATCCATTTTTTACCTACCTTGTCCCGAAAGGTCCTGGTATGAGCTATGAGGGGAACCCCTACACCATTTTTAAAACTATCCCTGCCCCATTGTCAGGGGCGGACTGACAACTCATGGGGCCTCTGGGCAATAGGGGATCATGGGGCCCCTGTGTCCTTGCCCAAACTCAAAAAAGTCTATGAAAAAGGTACCAGGGGCATCTCATGGGGCCCCCTAATGACCCCGGGCCCTCTGGCAGTGCCCGAGTTTCCAAATGGTCAGTCTGCACCTGCCCATTGTTTACATGGCTAGGGATTCATGGCCAGTAAATAAATGGGGCTGGTGACATCACTGGTTTGTATGAACTTGGTGGGTGCAGGTACCCGCTGATTCCTAATCAACTATTGACAGGAAGATGAAAGTTGTCATATAGTATATAGTAGTGAGAGAAAAACATGCTTCTATATATGATGTTCAGCTCCTGCTGAACAGGCTGAAATTCTGACTTTTGGAAAAAACACACAAACAAGCAAAGTTCAGTCTGAACCTGTGTCCGGAAGGAACTGGGAGCACATCCCTAGTTAGTACTGATTAGTGTAAATAGGGTGATAGGCACATTGGGTACGTTTACTTTATCAGAAAGTACACTTATCCATTAATGATGACAACTGCCATATTACATACTGCACATTTGTACTAAAAAAGCCCAAAAACAATAATGTAACCACCAACATAATTATTACCTTTATTCTCAGGTTCCACCTATACTTTAGAGCACAGGTGTCAAACAAAAGGCCCACCAGGGCATATTATGTGGCCCTTGCACCTCCCCTGCAGCTTTGGCCACCCCCTCGTCTCCACCCACACCTTGTCTCAGCAGTCAGCAGCAGAAAGGAGGACAGAACTCCTACAGATCCTGTGCATCTCTTTGCAGCTACAGCACCTGCTCACCTCTGCCTCCCCTAGTCTCAGCAAGTCTTAAGTTTTAACTAAAACCAGTAATAATCGAATGCAGAGGCAATTATTTCATATGATCAATAGAAGACACATTTATATAGCCTTACAGGTACAACTGGCCCTTGGAGGGCAACCATAGGGGCAAAATCATGCTGATTTTGACTTCCCTGCTTTAGAAGTATAGCTTCACATCCAGCCTAGACTTCATCTTGTCATCCTAAGCGAT